TTCTCCTCCCTCAATCTCTGCAATACAACTCGCAAATGTTGCGCGTGCTCCTCCTGACTGCGCGAGTACACTAGAATATCATCAATAAAAACAATGACGAACGAATCCAGATACGGCCGGAACACACTGTTCATCAAATGCATGAACGCTGCTGGGGCATTAGTCAGCCCAAAGGACATAACAAGAAACTCATAGTGCCCATATCTAGTCCTGAAAGCAGTCTTCATAATATCCGAATCCCTGATCTTCAACTGGTGATAGCCCGAACGGAGGTCAATCTTGGAGAACACCCTCGCTCCCTGAAGCTGGTCAAATAAATCATCAATACGAGGCAGGGGGTACTTGTTCTTCACTGTTACTTTGTTCAATTGCCTGTAGTCAATGCACATTCTCATGGTGCCATCTTTCTTCTTCATAAATAGAACCGGTGCACCCCACGGTGACACACTCGGCCGAATGAACCCCTTATCTAGGAGTTCCTTAAGCTAATCCTTTAATTCTTTCAACTCTGCTGGTGCCATACGATATGGTGGAATGGAAATGGGCTGAGTGCCCGGCACCAGGTCAATACCAAAATCAATGTCCCTGTCCGGGGCATGCCCGACAGGTCTGCAGGAAACACATCTGGAAACTCCCTCGCAACAGGGACAGAGTCAATGCTAGGAGTCTCGGCTCCAACATCCCCCACGAACGCCAAATAGGAAAGGCAACCCTTCCCAACCATACGCTGGGCTTTTAAGAATGAAATCACCCTGCTAGGAACATAGTCAGTCATACCACGCCACTCGATCCTCGGTACGCCCGGTATAGCCAGAGTGATGTCTTAGCATGACTGTCTAGGATAGCATGACACGGAGATAACCAGTCCATGCCCAAAATAACATCAAAATCTACCATGCTCAATAGCAACAGATCAACTCGGGTCTCCAGACCCCCAATAGTAACCAAACATGACCGGTATACATGGTCTACAACAACAGTATCGCCCACCCGGGTAGATACATGAACAGGTAAAGTAAGACACCCTCGGGTAGTACCCAAATAATGAGCAAAATATGAGGACACATAGGAATAGGTGGAACCGGGATCAAATAAGACTGAGGCATCTCTGTGGCAGACTGAAATAATACCTGTAATCACAGCATCCGAAGCAATAGCATCTGTCCTTCCCTGAAGAGCATAAAAGCGAGCCTGACCACCGCCCGATCGACCACCTCCCCTGGGGCGACCCTGGCTGCCTGACCCTCACCCCTAGCTGGCGGGGCGGGTGCTGAAGAAACTGGACCAGAAGATGAGGGCTGACCCCTCTGCTGAGATGAGCTAGCAGCACGACGAGGACACTCCCTCCGCATATGCCCAAACTCTCCACACTCATAGCAACTCCCAGGTGCTGGGGACTGGGACTGAAGGGAACCCCTCGCGCCGGAGCGACTAGCTGATGCACTCAGCCTGGAAGAACCCTGAGCAGACAGAGCACGAGATGAACTCTGTGATGGAAGAGCGCTGAGGGATGGCTGACTTTGCTGAGAACCATGGTAACCACGACCTGATGATGCCCCGCGATACTCGTGTCGAGCTGACTGAGCGGGCCTGAAAGAATAACCCCGACCCTGCTGGAACTGGCCTCTCGAAAGAGCGCCACTGTAACTACCAGAACCTCGAGGCCTCTTGGCCTCCCTCTCATCTCGATCCTGACGGCAAACCGCCTCAATCTCTCGGGCTATATCAACCACCTCCTCGAATGTGGCACCCAGCACTTGCTCCCTAGTCATAAGAACTCGAAGAGGGTAGCTGAGACCATCAACAAACCTCCGGATACGCTCATGATCTGTCAGAACCAGCCAAACTGCATGCCGAGCCAACTCAGAAAATCTTATCTCATACTGGGACACTATCATATCTCCCTGCCGTAGCCACTCAAGCTGTCTGCGCAGCTCCTCTCTGCGGGACTGCGGCATATACTTCTCCAAGAAGAGAGTGGAGAACTCCTGCCAAGTCAAAGGTGTTGCACCAGCCGGCCTACGCCTCTCATACGCTTCCCACCAAGTGAAGGCAGCTCCAGTAAACTGAAAAGTAGTAAAAGCCACCCCACTGGACTTAAGAATCCCCGCTGTACGAAGGATCCGCTGACATCTGTCGAGAAAACCCTGGGCATCCTCGCCCTCAGCACCATTAAATGTTGGAGGCTGGAGCCTACCAAACCTCTCGAGGCGACGCTGCTCGTCCTCGGGCATAACTGGAACCCTGAACTCCGGTACTGGTACAGCTGGCTGAGCTGGAGGTGCCTCTGGAGTCTGTAATCCCTGCACTACCTGCTAAGGTGTGCGAGCAGCTGGGGTCTGATTGCCTCCCCCGGCCTGTGTAGTAGCTGCTGCTACTGTAGTGGCTGAAACCACCTGAGCCAGGCCCGTGCACACTGTCAAGATCTGAGCTAATGTCTCCTAAAGGCCAGGAATCACGATGGGCACAGCTCGTGCCTGAACTGGTGCTACTGGAGCCTGATCCTGAGCTGGGGCAACTGGTGGATCAACAGGTACTGCCCCTACCACGACCACGACCGCGTCCACGGCCTCTGGTGGTCTCAATGGGTGGTACTGGGGGTCGTCCGCCACGTCCGGTAGCTCGTGTCCTCACCATCTGTGAGAGAATAGAATAAAGAGAAGTTTAGCACTCGGGTCAACAAGTTCGCACGACAAGAATTCCAAGAATGTGGAGTTTTCCTAAAGGTCCTGCAGCCTCTCGAGGATAAGTACAGACGTCTTCGTACCGATCCGCGAGACTCTACTAAACCAGCTCATGACTCGCGAGACCTAGTAACCTAGGCTCTGATACCAACTTGTCACGGCCCAAATCCCAAACCCGGCCGTGATGGCGCCTCTCGTGAAGACAAGGCCAGCCAAAACAATGCCAACACCTCTTTTAAGCAGTTAATTACCATTAAACAATTCTCTAGCATGATTTAATAACAACCATTCGCGGAAGTATAGAATATAACAGTAGAAACCATCCCGACACATCCCAAACCGGGGTGTCACAAGTCATGAGCTATTACAGAATTTCTATAAGTCTACCAACAGAATATCTGGTATAGAAGTTTGGAATACTGAAATAGCATGAAATAGGGGAGTCAAGAGGGTTGCGGACGCCAACAGCTACCTCGAAGCTCCGAACTTGCTGCCTGATCTGGACAAGGATATCAGTGCTCAGGAACGGACTCTGCTATGCCTGAATCTGCACACATGGTGCAGGGAGTAATGTGAGTGCTCCGACCCAGTGAGTAATAATAATAAATAATAGCCGAAGAAAAGAAAACACATAACAACACAAGGCAGTTCTATATCAGGCAGTAAATCACTTAAAGCAGTAAAATTCGTGAAATCATGTGAAATCTCCGTTTTAAAGGCAGGTAAATCAGGTAAAACAGCTAATAAGTGGTAAATAGTAAAACTGCCCCTCGGGCCCAGTATCAACCGCTCAGTACAGTAACTCATATTACTCTCAGAAGAGATCCTAGTAAAAAATTTGCAAATCTCTAAGAGTTATCATTCGAGTACGAACTCAAATGTTCTAAAGGGGAGAAGAATATTACATCTCGTACTTTAATATTAGAAATATGCAAAAGTTTTCATCTCCGCATCAAACTTTTCCATATCCTCGAAAAAGACCCTTTAACTTCAACACTCATAAAAGAACCATTTGAAAGTTTGTTTGATCTTCAGCATTTGCGCTATCAACAATTTTGTATTAGTCAGCGCAAATAATATATATTTACGCTGTTCATCAAGTCAACATCACAAAATGCAATTTTTCCTTATACTTCAGTATATTTACTGGACAATATATAATGAAACATCAAAAGTCATCAGTTACCAGTATCCTATAAAAAGAGGTAATTGAGCACCTGTCAAAAACAGAAACAAGAGGTATAGCCCGTTTGGCCAAGCTGCAAAAATCAGCTTATTTTGAGAAGTACTTTTTTTCAAAAGTGCTTTTCTCAAAAGTACTTTTGGTGAGAAGCATTTTGTGTTTGGCTAATTAGTTTGAAAAGCACTTCTGAGCAGCAATTAGTGTTTGACCAAGCTTTAAAAAACTGCTTCTAAGTGTATTTTTCTCAAAAGTGCTTCTCAAAAAAGTGCTTTTGGAGAGAAGCTACTTTTTTCTGCTTCTCCAAAACTGCTTCTGCTTCTTCTCAAAAACACTTTTTTTCATTCCAAAAGCTTGGCCAAACAGCTCAATTTTTGGCCAAAAGTGCTTTTGACAAAAAAAAGGAAATACTTTTGCACGCGAGAAGAAACTAGTATATAAAAATATATAAAGATAATTATTTTTATTCAATAAAAATAAACGTCCACTCAATATTTCATGACAAATACTCAGCTTGTACTTTACTGTTGCAGTTGCATGTACAATTATTTACTCAATTCTTTGATTTAATATTATTGATATTATTTTACCATACGCGCGTCGAGTAACAGAAAATATAGCTATTATTTCTGCATAAGATTTTTGATGGGAAATTATTTTCCATACCAAACAAGCTCCAGTCAGTAGAGTCTTGGTAGTATTCGTACTTTCGTTTCGTGAATAGTAAATAGTTAAGTTAAAGCAAAATCCAAGAGTCAAGAAGAAAACCCCCCCACTCGAATTTCAACTGTGTGTATGCAGAGAAGAAAAGGATGCTGCGAGCTCCGACTCCAACCAGTCATTCGAATCAAGCCACACCAGAAATGGAGCAGCCGCCGCCGCCGCCGCCCCAGTTGAGGTCTTCTTCTTCTTCCTCAGTTTTCAGAAGCCACCACCATCACTTTCATCCTTCCCGACCCGCCATCCTTGATCTCTTCAACCTCTACTTAGGACTGGTAATCTACCTTTAATTTCATATTTGCCCCCTTTTTTTGAACAAATATCCCCCAAATTTGTTGCCTTTCTCTATTGCCTTTTTTCCCATTGTAAAGTTCAATCCCGCCAATTCACTGTTTCTCGCAGAAAAATTCTGGGCAAAAATCAGATGATTCTATTAGAGAACCTCCGTAAGTTCTTTCTGACATGTATCATTTGGCTGTAGTTTGAAGCACTATTTTACGCATGAATTAAATATTTTTCATTGTTTATGAGTTTTATAAGCTTAACAGCTTAACTATATACATCTGTCTCCGCATTATCTTAGGTAAAGGCAAGGAGTGGTGGGGGTGGGGGGAAGGTCTAATTACCACAGCTATTTAAATGAAAAAACATGAAAAAATTAGCTTATTTGATGCAGGTTATATAGTATGCTTTCTTATTCTTTCATAATTCCTTTTTATGAATTGGGGTTTGTTGGACTTGGTCCTCCATATATTCGGCATCTTATGCACCAAACATTTTATATATTATCTTCCAGTCATATTTCATATCACCGATTTCATGAACACAGCAAAGGAGAATTGGGGTTTACCTTTTGGAGTTGCACAAGGGCTTTACTAATTACCGAAGAAGAAAAGGTTTATTATACCTGCAATCAACATCATTTCTTGCTTCTATTTAAGAAGAGGACTGTTGTGAACCAGCCTGAGTTGGTAAGGGATTATGGGCCAGAAGTGGGGAACGAGGCTAACCCAGTTGGGACTATTGGGCCAAGAGGTAAAGGCCCAATGATTAAACAACCAAATAGAATACTAGTACGTTATATTTGGGATCCCGGGGGAAGATACAAGATATGCTTATTTTGAAGAAAAGTGTCTGCTTCTTCTCTTCCCCGTTCTCTGAGTCTAAGTTCTCATCCCCCTTCTTATCTTTATTCTTAGCTACTTTTACAATCCAGTGTTTCTTTTTGTTTTTCAGTTGTTTGAACGTTGCCTTGTTATCCTAATTTGTAATTGAGTTCTACTTAATATTGATATAGTAAGGAGTTTGTCTATTTGTTACATTGGTGCTTTCATCCATCGGACTCCAATGATGGTACTGGAACGATTCAGCGGCAATGACAACCCAGAGAGCTGGCTTTTTTAGGCCGAGCGGTACTTCACTTATCTTGGCTTCGTTGAGAAGGATTGGTTACCTCTTCCTTCCTTTTACCTTGATGGTGAAGCTCTTAATTGGTTCAATTGGTTGTTTCGGAACAATCAATTTTTCGATTGGAAACATTTCAAGGCAAAATTTGCTCAGCATTTTCGACAACAACCCACCACACATCCGGTAGGGAGTCTAGCTTATTCTTCACAGGTTCGTTTTAATTACGTCAATTATATCCCTACAGTTTCACAATTGGTTCTAGTGTCTCCCTTTCCTGCTCCGAGCCATTTTTCATCTGGGTTTGAATCTGTTGATGAAACTGAAAACTCAAAGGCGGACCATGTGTTCGATGAATTGCCAGAGAAGTATGAAAATAAGGATTCCTTGGCATTGTTTACTGGAAGTAATACTATAATTCAACCTATTAAAGACATGGAGGCACCTCAAGTTGCATGCAAAATCAATAGAGGTGGCAGATATGGTACATGAACCTTCTGCCATTACCGAAGAGCAGGTGTTCGACGAAATTTCACACACTACATTAGCCAAGTTATCCAATGATAGCTTCTGTGAAAATGTGAGCTTGCAAACCACGGTACCTGCTGAGGTGTTAGATGATATGAGGGGATCTAATACTAAGGAGGAGGAAAATTCACGACATAATGTAGCTTTGTTTAAAAATTCTCCTCAAAAGGATTTATCAGGTTTTCTGGTTCCTTTTGCAAGACAAGGAATTATGATCTCAAATGCGAGTGCAAGAGTTGCTGAAATCGCATATCCAATTGATGGCGCCTTATGGCCTCGCACTATTTCATGGTTGCTTAATTCTCTTGAAGGAATTCGTGGGGGTAAACAAAGTAGATTGTCGCTTTACCTTATCTTTGGCATACACAAGTGCAATTGGGTTGATACGGGACAGGAGCGCAATCTTCCTGGATTCTTGTTGTCTAAATCGAGAGGGTGTGCTAGGAAGGACAAAATACAGGGAGTGCTGCAGGCATTTGCTGAAGGTTACTCCAAGCAGTATATTGTCTTTGATCATGGTCCTTATCTTGAGTATGTCACACCCTATGCAGTAGGATCCACTTTTGGAGATGAAAAATATGTGGAGGAGGGCACTATAAAAATACGAATTGAACTTCTAGCTAAGAAGTTTCCTACTGGTCAAGGGCATGATGATTTAGGCGGAGTTGAACTAGGTGTTGCAAGCTGTGTTACTCTCAAATCTTCTTGTGCAACTTATAAGCTACTAGGGGAGTCTACAGAGAATTCATTGATGCAGCATTTTGGTGGTGTTACTGATCATATTGTGGAGCAATTAAATGCACCAGTGCTACAATCTGCTATATGTGCTTACAGGAACTGCAACATTCTGGCTTTTTCTCTTGAAAGTCACTTTGTTGGATCAGATAACAAGGTCAAGGACAATTTGTTTAAGGGCTTTGCTACACTCTACACCTGTTGTGAAGAGTGAAGAGGAAGATAATGGTAAATTTATCGGCAAAAAGATAACAATATCTTTACAGGTGATATTGGAATATTATGGTGTTGCCATAGTTAAGGATCTAACATTGGTTCAAGTCACGTCCTTCATGGCATTACTAGTTGATATGTACACCAATCTTGAGGCTATGGCTCATGCTCAAATAATTTGCTATGACTTGCCGAGAAGAAATCCTATTAGTTTGAAATTCTTGATATTTGATTTTGATTTTGATCCCAAAGCCCAAGAAGAGGATTCTACTAGACTCTTTCACCAACTGATGGTAGTTGGTGTGTTTCTCACCAATTCTATACTCGACGCGAAGGTCAGTGCTTGCACATTGTTATCTGGCTCCAAGTTAGAGAAGTTGCTATATGGATATTCTATCAATACCCAAATTACATACAACGTACGTATTTGTAACATAATTTGCGGCATACATCTCAAAAGTGGTATTCCAGATTGTTTAGATGAAGCATCTAAGAGAGTTGCTGGAATTAGAAATATGCCTGCAACAGTTTATGAATTTTTCTTCTATCTAAAACTTGGAGAATGTAGTTGCATTTTTAGTCTTCAATTAGTCATTAATCTACAAATGAGTTGCTCCAGGAGAGTTAGCAAAAGCACATGCCTGGATGTAGTTCTACAGGAGCTCAAAATTAAAGCATTGGCATTGACTCTACATTATGGTGGTAATTTTAGCAATTCGAGGGATCCAAGATTCTTGTTATTTATCGGAAATTAATTTGGTTGTTGATATTGGGAAGATTGACTGATTCAAAGGATCCTTACTTCATGAATCCTCTGCCTCATGCTTCCATTTTGAGAAAGCAGTTCATAAGAGTTGACCATAACTACAAAGTTTTGCTCCGATACAATTGGTGGCCTCATCTAGGACTTATCGTCTACCTGCAACATTATGCTCACAAGCTTTTCATTTCCAGACTGTCAAAGATCCATACCAAAGAACATAGAGCTTTACAATGTAACATTTTCCTTGAGTTACGTGATAAAGAGTTGTTGCAACACGAGGAAATAGGTAACTTATGGATACATGGCATCACCTATTGGTCTGATCTCACTCTGTGGCTTGATGTTCATAACTCTTTTTCATTTCTTGAGTCGAACCTTGAGGACAAGGTTTTTTTTGAGGACGGGAGTATTGTTGTGAACCAGCCTGAGTTGGTAAGGGATTATGGGCTAGAAGTGGGGAACGAGGCTAACCCAGTTGGGACTATTGGGCCTAGAGGTAAAGGCCCAATGATTAAACAACCAAATAGAATACTAGTACGTTATATTTGGGATCCCGGAGGAAGATACAGGATATGCTTATTGTGAAGAAAAGTGTCTGCTTCTTCTCTTCCCCGTTCTCTGAGTCTAAGTTCTCATCCCCCTTCTTATCTTTATCCTTAGCTTTTTTTACAATCCTTTCTTTTTGTTTTTTAGTTGTTTGAATGTTGCCTTGTTATCCTAATTTGTAATTGAGTTCTCCTTAATATTGATATAGTAAGGAGTTTGTCTATTTGTTACAAGGACAAAAAGAAATTGAGATTTTTGGTTTTTACGCATCTCTGTCTTTCCAGGATAAACTAAATGGAACGGGTTCTAAAGTTACGGTTTAGGGGCGTTTTGGGAATTTGAAACTAGTTAACTCTTTCCTTTTCTTGTTTGGGTATTGGGTTGGGGGGGGGG